CCCACATAGCTGGGATGATAGGTGCATACCACCCAGCCATTGATTGAGATGGGGTCTTTTTGTCCAGGCTGGCCTCGAACTACAATCCTACTGATCTTTGCCTGCTAAGTAGCTAGGATTACAGACTTGAGTCACCCATACCTGGCCTGTTCATTTTTGATAGCCACTCAGAACTTGTGACTCCGGTTGCACATTTTTGAAAACCAAGATACCATGTGTGTATCACGAGATGCTGAGATATTAAGTATACCACTTAATCACTTCTGAAGGATGTGTATAAAGATGTGGGGGATTTTTGTTACCTCAGACAATCCCCATGTGCACCTTCTCAGTCAATCGTACCCACTCCTGTATTCCTGCCCACTAAAGGCAACTTCTGCTCTGATTTTATTTTTATCACCATAAGCTTAGTTTTGCCTGCTCCAGAGTGTCTTTCTTTCTTTCTTTCTTTTTTTCCGGAACTGGGGTTTGAACTCAGGGCCTACACCTTGAGCCACTCCACCTGCCCTTTTTTGTGATGAGTTTTTTCGAGATAGGGTCTCCAGAACTATTTGCCCAGGCTGGCTTTGAACTGAGATCCTCCTGTTCTCTGCCTCCTGAGTAGCTAGGATAACAGGTGTGAGTTATTGGCACCTGGCTTAGAGTTTCATATGTACATTTTTTTGTATTTGGCTTCTTTTTACTCAGTGTGAGATTTAGCCATCTTGTATCGGTCAACTGAGTTCAATTCAACTAAAAAACTCAAGAGTCCTTTTATTTTATGGATCTTATTAAAGGCCAGATATTTCTTATTCTGTATTTGAGCAGGTAGGCTTTTGAAACTATACATGGAACCTTATTTTTATTGTCATTTTTTTCTTATTCTTTGAAAGTGTATTGAATCTCATTTTTGGATCTTATTATATTATTTGTACAATTAGCCTGTGTACCCTTTGGAAATGGGGCAGATTCACATTCAAGATCACGGTGTAGACTGTTGACAAATGTGTTGAGCTCTGTGAGAAATAGAACTTTTATTATGGGTAAATATCAAACCTTTTATCAGCCCACTTAGGCTTTGTGTATTTCAGCAGTAGTGGTGGAATGCTGTCTAACTGCGTGGCCCACAAACATCTTTATGTAAAATGATGTTCCTCTGTCACTGCCCTGTTCTTCCAATCGAGAATTACCAGGAAAAGGACATGGATCCATGTGCTGGGACTTGCATATGAAATCATTTGGGTTCCAGCCCTGACTTCCTTTTTTCTTAGCATTCTCAAATCACCTCTTTCTTAATCCATTCTCAAAACCACTTTTCTTCTTTAGGAAACAAAGCTGTTTTCCTCTTCTAGTCTTTGAGATCTTTGTTCTCCATGACTCTTGTGGAAATGATTAAAATGGAGTCTGCATTCATTCTATCTTTGTCTTTATGTTCTCCAAAATTAATTTTATGCTTATTTTCTCTTAAATTTCCTGTTTCTTTCCCTTGTCCAGATTGAATATTGTTCTTGGTGAAGATGAAGCAAAATAGAAATTTGTTGTTACTTAAATTCCATCAGCCATCACAACAATGATACTATTCTTTTCTAATCCTTTGTAGAATTACTAGTTAATCGAACCCCCCATTCCACTGACCCATCAATCTACCAGCTGTTTTGGTAATTTGAATCATAAGCTTTGACTCATTTTATTTTATTTTTAATTTATTTTTATTTTAACTTTTTTTTTTTTTGGCAGAACTAGGACATGAACTCAGGGCCTCAAGCTCACTAGGCAAAGTGCTCTCCCACTTGAACCACACTCCCATCCCTTTTTTGCTTTAGTTATTTTTCAGATGGGTTTTGTGCTTTTTGCTTGGGCAGGCCTTGGACCTATGCCTCCTGTATAGTGTGAATCCTAAGTATGCACCACCATGAACGGCTTATTCTTTGAGATAGCGTATCACTAGCTTTTTTTTTTTTTTCCTCCTTTTTTGCCTGGGCTGGCCTTGAATGGTGATCCTCCCGTCTCTGCCTCCAACTCATTTTAAATTTGAGTTGTCTGGCTACTATTCTAACAGACTTCTATGAGAATTACAGCTAGAATGAACTGATAGGTTATTGCTGCTCTTTAGGTTTTTGTGCTTTGTTATATAGTTCTTCCTATCTTGAACATGTCTTGAAAATCTGAGGTTATCATGGATTTTTCTGTACAGCCACAAAATTGCATCGTAAGTTGAGTATCTACCACTGCTTCGCCCTTTTAAGTAATCTGTGGTTGTTTCATATTATTGTATGTCTTATTATCTGACCTCCCATCCTCTTGAGTTTTTGGTCCTGGGGTTTTGTCTGTATTTTTTATCTAAACAACTTGAGGTCCCCATTGCTGAGGGCTAGGGCTCTGTATCTTAAGAATCCAGAGATGACTTGGCTTGTTTTTCTCTCAAGGTTCTTGTCATTTCACCAACAAGTTTTCATTTGGGACCAGAATTCATTCAAAATAGATGTTCCATTAGCTGTTGCAGCTGGAAATGTGACTGTCCTTTTCCCCAACTTCTGAAATACCATTTTCTCCGTGAGCAATTTATTCTCAGGTACAAGGCTGCGTTTGGCCCACACCTGCTGGTAAGCCTCATTAAGGACTGTCAGTGTCCTTTGGGACTCTCAAGAAACAGGATGACTCATTTCCTGAGGCTATCTTTAGTTTAAGAGTTCTTAAATGGAATTAACTTGGCAATGTACAAGTAGATGACGTCTAACACTGTCACAGAGCAGGTGGGTCATTCCCAGCATGTCTGATGAATAGGCCAAGTCTGCAGCTTGATTTAAAAGCCTTTGGCTTGTCATGCTGCTAAAAGGAGTACATTGAACAAGTTAACTTACCCAAATATCAGCTTCAAAACGCACCTAAACCTAAAGCTTGAGGACCAGGTGAGAATTTCCCAAATTCTTATATGACCTGTGGAGGGGCCACTTAGTCTCCGGTGGACACTCATTATCCTGCTGGGGAACCCACCACTTGCATTAACCTCTAGCCTTCTGGGAGAGGAAATCAGTTGTGGAAATCTCAACATGGAAGTATTTGGATTGAGTGAGGTTGTGAAAAGATTTATGTCAAGTAGTGGAGTTCAGAGGGAGTAAAACTAAAATCTCAAAATATAGGAAAAGTGAAAGAAAAAGGTTTATACATGATTAGAATTTAAGAGAAACCCAAGTAACCAGCTGGTGGCTCATGCCTTAATCCTAGCTACTTGTGAGGCTAAGATTGGGAGGTTTGTGGTTCCAGGCCAGCCCAGGCAGAGAGTTCACCAGACCCCACGTCAACCAATAGCTAGGCACAGTGGTGTGTGCCTGCCGTCCCAAGCTACATAGGAGCTGGGGTCAGGAGAATTGCAGTTCCAGACAAAAAAATTCCCCAAACCCCCTCTCAGTGGAAAAAAGCTCCATATGGTGCCATGTACCTGTCATCCCAGCTACAGCAGAAATAGGATCACAGTCCAGGCTGGCCTGGGCAAAAAGCAAGATCCCATCCCTGAAATAGCCAGAGTAAAAGGGGATGGAGGCATGACTCAAGTGGTTGAGCACCTGCCTTCAAGTGCACAGCCCTGAGTTCAAACTCCAGTACCACAAAGAAAGAGAGAGAAATACAGAGATCCAAGTAGCTCCATGGTTCTAACAAAAGCCCATGTAAAGGAAAACTTCAAATTAGTACAGTTAACTAAGACCTGTTTTTTTATTCCAAGGGCTTGCTGTCTTGTTCTGATACAGTCTGCTTGGAGACTTCTCTCAGGGCATACTCTTCCTCCATCTTTTAATGTTTAAGACCACCGAAAAGTTAGAAAAGTGTGTAAAGAATACCCATGTGGTCTTCCCCAAGAGTCACTTCTTATTCAATATTTTGTCACTTTTCTTTACTTCCCCCATCTATGTATTTATCTGTCCTCTTTATCTATTAAAAAAATGACTTTTTGAATCATTTGAAAGAAAGTTAAGGACTCATGCCCTCTCAGTGCTAAGTATGTACTTCAACATGTGTCTCCAGTAAGTAAAGGAGTTTTCCTGTTTAATCATACCTTAGTATTATTTATAGACTATTTCTCATTTGTCCCATATTATTGTTGTTGATGGATGCTTTTTAAAATTCCCTCCCCCATTCCAGGATTCAGTCAGTCCAGCAGTGGATCCTAGATTGGATTTACACATTGCGTTTGGTGATTAATGCTCTGTAGTCTGTCTTAATCTGTAACAACCCCGCCCTCTGCCTGTTTTGTTTGTTGGCTTGTTTTTATAGCTTTGATATTTTTTTTTTTGTTTTTTTGAGAATCGAGAGCAGCTGCCCACATCCTAGATCTGTTCAGTTGCATAACATGCTACTTAGATGATGTGTTGTACTTACACTTCACTCAGGAAGTACATACTGTCAGGCTGTCTGACTCCTGGGGATGCTGTTTGGTTAAGGTTATACCTCAACAATTCACTGTAAAATTATATTTCCCACCGTGTGGGGGATGATTGGTCTGTGGGTTGATAGCTTTAGATCACGGGAACATTTGGTCCCCAGATACTTCATTGAGTGCTTCTACTGTCCAGTGGTGGCCCTTGTCTGATTTGCTTATTACAGTGGGGGTGTCAGAATGATGTTTTTTCACATTCCATCATTTTCAGTGCTGACTAGATGACATTCTAATGTAAGAAAAAAGATTTTCCTTTCTCTCCAATATCAGTTGTTATTTTTCTTTTTTTTAAATGTTCAAATTTCCCTAAATTTGGGCATTTGGAGCCCCTTCAGCTGGTTCCTGTGTCCTTTTGGTGCTGGAGATTGAACCCAGGGACCCACTCTACACTGAACGATACTCCCAGCTCTTGTGTCCTTTTGAGATGACTGCATTAGTCTTTGAGGATTTCTTGTTCAACTGTGCAACATCCCCTGTTACAGTCAGAGTCAGGCATTTCCCCAAGGAACTGTGGTTGACCTGATTTGGAAACCATGCTGTGGCCTCAAGGGACTGTAACCTCAAAGCTTCTTGTACTTGCATTGGGCAGATACAGTACCAACGAGGGTGAGACATGGAAGACGTTCATGTTCTCTGAGAGACCGGTGTTTGTGTATGGGCTTCTCACAGAACCTGGGGAGAAGAGCACTGTCTTCACCATCTTCGGCTCCAACAAGGAGAATGTCCACAGCTGGCTTATCCTCCAGGTCAATGCCACAGATGCTTTGGGTAAGCCATCACCTCATGGGTCCTTTCCATGGAGATAATGATTGATCTCCCAGTATGTGCAAAGCACCAGCTCAGATAGAGTCTGGGATTCACTGTGAAAACCAGAGGGAGGCCAGTGGGGGTCACTCAGCTCCTCTCAATGGTACTTTAAGTTGATTCCTTGTATCTTGTTTCTGGTGCAGTATTGTGTCAGCGTACACTAAGGTTAAATACTGGCATAAGTGGGTAAATGAAAAACATTTTTTTCCAAATCAGCAATTCCAAGGGAACATACTTAGTGAGTTGCCTGTGCAAGTCAACTGTTGCTGTGGCAAAATACCAAAGACAATCAACTTAAAAAAATACTTATTTTGGCTCATGGTTGCAGAGGTTTCAGTCCATGGTTGCTTGGCTCTGTTGCTTTGGACTTGTGGCAGGAGCCTTAGTGGAGGTCTGTTCACCTCATGGGGTGGGATGGGGGGCACAGAGAGACAGACAGATAGACACTCAGACTCTGAGTCCCAGTATCCCCTTCAAAGGCACATCCTCAATGACCTAACCACTGTGTCTTTCCACTAGGCCTTCAAAGGTTTGCACTGAGACCAAGCTGTCAATACCTGTGCCTTTGGGGGACATTTGTGATCTGGACTATTGCTATGCCTTAGTCTCTGTAAACCAGTGTCCCCAGTGGTGCAGGGTCCTCTCAAAGCTGGCTAGGCTGTGGTATCATACTGCTAGTCTAGACATGGGACCTGTGAGAACAGGGAGAATGATACTCTTCAATGTCCCTTCCCTGTCTCCCAATGTTGCCCTTCCTTTCCTATTCCTCTGCTTTGGCTGACATTATTCCAGCTGCCCAGGACGCCTCCCAAGTCTTCTCACTGCCACCCATTCAACTTCCATGAATTGGTGGAATCCTTTCCATATTTCAGGATTGAGCATATTTGTTGCTGGTATTGCACCCAGAAGACATCTCACTTTTCTATGCCCAGAAATAAGTATATTCATCAAATTCTAAATTTGTCTCTAACACTCCATCAGCTAAACTAATAAGACTCTTAAAATCAAGAACTTGTCCTGTGCATATTTTTATTCCACCTACTGAGTAGCCTGATTGCTTCACAGTCAGTAAGGTTTTAATAAGTCTTTGCTCATTTAAGCACCATTGAATTGACAGTTGTGTATCAGCTTTGGGTAGTATTTAATCTGACCAAAGATGCATATATGTATAAGTTACTAGTGCAGACATATGCATACTCTGGAATTTCTGTAGAAAGCACTCTATTGACATTTTGAATGAATGAGGGCAGGTAGAGTGACTGCCAGCTGTCTTGGCATTCCGCAGTCTCTTCACAAATATCTAATACATACAAGTAGAGCACGCACATTCTTCAGTGCTCCCAGGCCACACTGCTGAATGGTCCACACTACCAGAGGAAGCAGACAAGGTGCAACAGCCCTGGATGACATCACCAACCCAGGGTTTAGCCTGTCCCTAGCTCCCTAGGAGAGAAACATTCCTGGGTACCTATTTCTAAAGGCACCTGTTGCATCTCAGCATAATTCAGAAGTTTGGCTAGGTGTGGTGGTGCACACCCATAATCCCAGCACTTAGGAGGCTGAGGCTGGAGGACCATGAGTTACAGGCCAGCTTGGGCTACATAGTGAGACCCTGTCTCAAATGCCCCACCCCCCAAAAATAATCATTCAGAAATCTAGTGGTGTAAAGTGGCTTGTTTCTTCCCAGGTTTTTCAGATGAACATCTGTACTTCAAGTGACATTATTTTTATTCTCTCAGATATTTCTGTTTTGGCAGTACCGGGGCTTGAACTCAGGGCCTCTTCCTTGCTAGGCAGGTGCTCTACCACCTGAGCCATGGCCCAGCCCTTCATTTTCATTCTCATGGGTGCTGCCAGCTGCAGCATAAGCCAGGTAGAGGCCTAGGATAGCTCCTGACTGCACTTGCTGTTTGGCAGCAAGATGCACTGGAGGTGGGGGCTGGGCTGCAGGGTGGTGAGTCACAGACCCTTCCTGGACCTCACTCTGATACTTCATGCTGTCTGTCTTTTGTCCTCAGGGGTTCCCTGCACAGAGAATGACTATAAGCTGTGGTCCCCCTCTGATGAAAGGGGGAATGAATGTTTGCTAGGACATAAGACTGTTTTCAAACGGAGGACCCCCCATGCAACATGCTTTAACGGAGAAGACTTTGACAGACCGGTGGTTGTGTCCAATTGCTCCTGCACCCGGGAGGACTATGAATGGTTTGTTCTCCTGCAAAGCCTGGGACATTGAGTTGCATTATATGTACAAAGCAGTGTGGGGCTGATGGACAAGGACATGGTCCTTTCCCTGAGAAAGGGAAAGGAATAGAGGGAAATGTATATTTATTTAGCATCTCTTACATGTCAGCGGCTCTGCTGGGCACTTCCTTACTTACACTGTGTGCGTTAGCTCTTACAGCCATGTCATGCAGTAGAGTGTTGTGACTTCAGGAAGCTGCAGTCATTTCTGTGGGGATAGATAGCTCTGGGCTTTATTTCTAGGAGGTGACCCAAAAAGGGACCATGCTAGACTGGGCATAGTGACACACATCTGTAATCCTAGCTATATAGGAGACATGGATAGGAGGATCACAGTCCCAAGGCTGTGTCCCAGAGCAAAAGTGTGAGACCTTACTTGAAAAATAACTGAAGCAAAAAGGTCTGCAGGTGTGGCTCAAATGACAGAGCTCCTGCCTAGCAAGCCCGAGGCTCTGAGTACAAATCCCAGTAAAAAAGAAAGAAAAAGGACCATGCCAAAGTTCCATTGTAGGTGACTTGTTTTTCTTAGGACCCCCATCCTACAGGGCTCGTCCTTCCTTATCTGAAGTGAGGAGATGTTAGTATATGTATTTTTCATCATTTATTATTCCTTGAGCAAAACGTCCAAGGCCTTGCTGGGAATGTTAAGCAGAAGAAGTGACATCATTGTGACGGGATGGGAGGGGCAGGGGCCTTAGAGGAAGAGCAGGTGCCTATTGGGACCATTGAAAGGAAGAGCTGGGGTTTGTAGTTGGAAATCAGGAATTTTTTTTTTCTGGTGATACTGGGTTTTGAACTCAGGGCCTTGTGCTTGCTAGGCAGGCCCTCCAGCACTCAAAGTACATCTCCACCCCAAGTCAGGGAATGCTTGGAAGAGGTCCTGTTTGAGGTGGGCTTTGAGGTTGCATCTGGATATGGGGACGGATCATTCGCAGGCCATGTGGCAGCAGTGCGGTAGTGTGGAGGCAGGAGAGTATCGTTAGCAAGTTGGTTTGCATGCCTTGGTGGGTGTGTGGGGTGGGGTCCGTGCGTGGAGATGAGGTGGGAAAGGCAACATGTAGTAGGAGTGGAGACTGAGGGGCTGGAGCCCATTCTCGAAGCTGGAGGGGCCTTGACAGCTTTTGAGGGCAGTGGGCAGCACAGCCGAGGGAAGATGGTACCAGCAGCAGAGTGCAGAGAAGGATTCTTTTCCATCTGTAATTCAGCAGTAGCCAAGGCCCCTGAACGTCCATGGAACTCCCATCTCACTGGTTGCTGAGGTGTGTTTTACTTTGGGCAGCACTGCACGTGTTGAAGTAAAGCCAGACCCTTTGATACGTGGTAGACCAGAGATTGGAGCAGAACCCGCTAGCAAAAGTTCTAGGCTTTACAAAGCCATGTGGTCTCTGTTGCAGCTACTCAGCCATGTCCATGGTGACACCATAGATGGAGGAAGTCCCGGATGCAGGGGCATGGCTGCCATCTATTAAAGCCTTATTTACAAAAACACTCCTGTGTTTTTGTATATAAGGACACTCCTGTTCTAGACCAGTGCTTCTGCAACTTAAATGTGCATAGCAATCACCCAGCATCTTGTTAAAATGAGGACTCCTCCTTGAGGGTGCTGGGGGTCTTCAGTTCTACCAGGTTCCAAGTGATGAGGTGCTGCTCATCTGTGCGTCTGCGCTTTGAGCAGTGAGGTTTGGCACCCATGACAGTCCTTCACTTTGAGAGATGTGTGCCTTTGAGGTTACAGTACTGACACTTGAGCACTCCCAGAGTTTGGAATCTGCAGGGAGGGTTTGGAGCAGACCCCCTGAAGACACTCAGGGATGACATCTGCTTTGAAATGAAATTAAGACTAAATAAAAAATATGTAAGGAAATCCAACAAATATTTTGGTTTCTTCCCTCATGATTGCTAATAGGCTTTTGGAAAAAAAAAAAGAAAGAAACACCATCCATGTACATTAACACAAGCATGTAACCCCAACTATTTGGAAGGCACAGATGGGAGAGTCATGTTTCAATGCCAGTCTAGGCAAAAAAAAATTAACAAGACCCCCTTTTCAACAAAACAAGCCGTGCATGGTGGTGCATGCCTGGAATCCCAGCTACGCAGGGGGCATAGGGTGGGGAAGATCACTGTCTGAGGCAAAAACGCAAGACCCTACCCCAAAAATAGCTAAAGCAAAAAAGTTTTGGGGGAGGGTGTGGCTCAAGTGGTAGAGTGCTGCCTAGCAAGCAAGAGGCCCCGAGTTCAAACCCCATTATTGTTAAATAAATAAGTAAGTAAGTAAGTAAATAAATAAATAAATAAATAAACCTTCTCCCTGCTTCCACAAACCAAAAGCAAATGAAGGTTGGTGTGCTTTCCTGGGTATACTGTCAGAGCCCCTACTGGTTTCCCCTGCCTGCCCCATCTGGCTTGTGAGAACCTGCCAGGTTATCCCTGCTGGGTGCTGAGTCTTTTTATTGTAGACGAGGAAAACCACCTGCTCTGTCCTTCATGGAGTTGGACTGCAGACCACAAGAGCATGTGGGAGTGATGGCTCTGTGAAAAGGGCAAAGGGTCATTGATTTCAGGCTGACCTTTGTTCTTCCATTTGCTGTGGCTGCTAGAAAGGAACCAGCCTGACCACGAGGCTCTTGGAAATATTTGATAGAGTCAGACTATCACAGTGAGAAGGGAAATGGTTCCAAATTGGAGATGGGAACCAGCAAGGCAGGGCAGTGTCTGTCCATTGGTTCAGCCACTGACTGACAACTGCATTTGCAAATCAGGTTGGTTCCGATAGTCCTTTCAGAACACATTGGGAAGCCCAACTCTTGGTGTATATGTGCTCCAATTTCAGGGGTAGTTTCTTTTACATCTTTATATTTCTCCACATTGGCAAGACCTGTGGCTTTCACATTCTTAATTACGATCCTTAGTGAGCAGTGATTTTATATTATCCCATAGCTGCACATACAGGCGTATGTACGTACATATATAGGCACATGCACTTAAAGCAAGTTTTATTAAAGTGAGATATATGCGCACATGTATTTACTTGTAAATGTGCAATGCTTTTTGGTTTGTTTTGTTTTGGTTTTTGGGTGGTACTGGAGTTTTAATTCAGTGCTTTGTGTTTGCTAGGCAAGTGCTCTATTGCTTGAGCCACACCTCCAGCCCAGGGATGCTTTTCGATGCTTTTTGTAATTTTCTCTTCTTTGTGGATAGGGGAGGAAGCTGGGCTAAAACAGCCTCCAAGTGCTTTCATAGTCCTTCCTCTAGGTCCTGACTGCAGTCAAAGAAAGCTGCGAAAATAGCTGGGTGCTTTGCTATTGAAAGCAAGTAAGTTATTTTCTGGTACTTCACCCAGTCTCCGAAAACTTTAATGTAGTCATTCAGTAAAAAGTGAACTGATTGAATGAATGAGAGCTTTTGAATATAGTTATAAAACTGCTGGCTTTGGAATAGTTCTTCACAAATTGCTAAGTGTGGATGATATAATTCACACAACAACTCTGCCCTGTAGCTGGTTGTACTTTTCCTACAGGAAATGTTTAGTGAGTGTCGTTGAGTGGTGAAGCTTCTCAGTAGAGTACATGGACATGGAGAATCCTTGTGACTTACAGAACTGGCAGTTTGAGCAGGCACAGAGGGCAGCTGCCTTGCTTTCCAAGTGTTGGGGGTAGACCAGAGAGGCCATGAGGTTGAAGGCAGAGCTAGGATTTGACCAAGGCCACCAACCTCCCACTCTTGGTGCTGCCTGTTGAAGTGGGAGGTTTGGCTGATGTCCCCAGAGTACAGAAGGTCTTGTGCAGGGGGAGGCACCCTGGGTGATTTAGATAGTTTGTGAACAGGGCCTGAAATGACACTGAATCCTTAGTCACAACATTTAAAAAAAAATTTATGAGGATATTTTTGTTGTACAGGGGCAATTCATTGTGACAGTTCCAAATAGAGTTATATTATAAATAGAGTACATTAATTAGATCTCCCTGCCATCTCTTCCCCTTAACCTCCCTCCCCACCCCACTTCAAGCAATTGTAAGAAGTTTCATTGTTCTATTTCATATAGGTATATAAAGTCCATCAACTGTGTTCCCTCACCTTGATCTCCTTCATTCAACCTCCACCCTCCTCAAGTACCTCCTCCCTCAACCACTGTACCAATTTTACAGTCCTGTCTTTCATTATTAATTTCCAAGTAAATGTTCAGAGG